AATTAGGAACAAGACAAGGATGTCCACTATCACCACTCCTGTTCAATATAATTTTGGAAACATTAGCCACAGCAATTAGACAAGAGAAAGAAATAAAAGGGATAAAGATAGGAAAGGAAGAAGTTAAACTGTCATTATTTGCTGATGATATGATATTCTACATGGAAGACCCTAAAAAACTCCACCAAAAGACTTCTAGACGTAATTGACAGATTCAGTAGAGTAGCTGGATACAAGATCAATACTCAAAAATCAATAGCCTCCTCATACACAAATAGCAGACTCACTGAAAGAAAAATTAGGGAAATAGTCCCTTTCACAATAGCACCCCCAAAAAATGAAATATTTAGGAATCAATCTAACAAAGGAAGCAAAAGACCTCTACACTGAAAACTACAGCACTCTGAAAAAAGAGATCAAAGAGGATATGAGAAAATGGAGAGACATCCCCTGTTCCTGGGTAGGAAGAACTAATATGGTGAAAATAGCCATACTTCCAAAACCGCTATACAGATTCAATGCAATCCCGATTGAAATCCCAACAGAATATTTCACAGAACTAGAGGAAGGCATGGTGCCACTGAGCCAAATCCCCTATTTCACAGAACTAGAGAAAACAACCCAAAAGTTCATCTGGAACCAGAAGAAACCTAGAATAGCAAAGGTAATTCTAGGCAACAGGGTCACGGCAGGGGGTATCACAATTCCCAACTTGAAACTATACTACAAATCCACTGTGATAAAAGAAACAGCATGGTACTGGCAAAGAAACAGACTCGAGGATAAGTGGAATAGATTAGAAGATGCAGAAACAACTCCAGACATACTTAGGTACCTCATCTTTGACAAAGGAGCCAACGATCCTCACTGGAGGAAGAATAGCCTCTTTAATAAATGGTGTTGGAAAAAATGGATTTCAACCTGCCAAAGATTAAAACTAGACCCCTATCTTTCACCATGCTCTAAACTAAAATCAAAGTGGATTAAAGATCTAAATATTAAAACAGAAATACTAAACTTGCTGGAAGATAAGTTAGGTAGAACTCTTGAAGATGTTGGCATAGGAAAGAACATTATGGACAAATCCTCAATAGCATGGGAACTAGCACAAAGAATCAACAACTAGAATTTCATTTTATTAAAAAGCTTCCACACCGCAAGAGAAACCACCAACCAAGCTAACAGACAACCTACAATGTGGGAAAAAATTTTTACCAGCTGTTCCTTAGACAAAGGTGTACTATCTAGAATATATAAAGAACTAAAAAGAATCAGACCCCCCAAATATAAAGAGCCAGTTCAAAAATGGGCATCTGAAATGAGCAGACATTTCTGGGCCAAAGAAGTAAAAGTGGCAAATAAACATATGAAAAAATGTTCAGCATCATTGGTCATTCAAGAGATGCAGATGAAAACAATGCTGAGATTCCACCTCACAGACAGAATGGTTCCTATCATGAAATCAACCAATAACCAATGCTGGCAGGGATGTGGGGAGAAAGGAACCCTTCCTTATTGTTGGTGGGAGTGCAAACTGGTGTGACCACTATGGAAATCAATATGGAGATACCTCAAAGAACTAGGACTAGAAGTCCCATTTGACCCACCTATTCCTCTACTGGGCATCTTCCCAAAAGAAGTAAAAGAATCATACAACAGTGATATATGCACACCCATGTTTACCGCAGCACAGTTTGTAATAGCTAAAACTTGGAAACAGCTCCATCAACTGGAGACTGGATAAAGAAGATGTGGGTGTTTTTATAAAATGGAATACTACTCAGCCATAAAGAATGAGAAACCAGAGACATTTGTAGCTAAGTGGATGCACATTGAGGTAATACTCTTAAGTGAAATAAATAGGACACACATGTGTAAATACTGAATAGTTTCTCTGGTGTGAAAAACTAAAAGTGTAAATAAGAATCAAAATGTATCACTGATATTGTGAAATAGGAAGAAAATGTCTAAAGGAGTAGGGGAAGTGGGAGGGGTAGGGGAAAGGAAAGAACGGAAAAGAAAAAATATGAGAAAAGGAAAAACATGGAAACAAAGTCTTTGTAAATAGGGAAGGGTGGAGTGGGGGAAGGGTGGAGGGGGTGAAGGGAGGGCAGGGGAATGGGGAAAAAATAAGAACCAAGATACATCATGTAAAGGTACAAGATCCCAATGATAAATATAACTGTATTGTATATCTAAAATGTACTAATAAACTAAATGGGGAAAAAAGTCAAATCCTAAACCACCCATGTTTTCTAACTCCACCACACCCACTCTCCCATTTGAAGAGCGGCCAAAATAAGTTACACTCAAGCTAAATGAACTGTATTTTTAGTGGCATAACATTGATACACCCTATAAGAAATCCAATATCAAAGATGGGTATTCATTCATTTCAAAAAATTAATAATCTTACTCTTTAAAATAATATATCCATGGTTTAAGTATATTCCATAAATAGAAACACTAATATGGCTCTGCCTATCTGAAAAAGGGTTTAGCAAAGGACATTTCTCTTTGCAATGGGACAGCTGAAGAGGTGTAATTTAACAGCTTTCAGAAGCCCGTCAGCAGGGTGATTGAGGTGGACAGAAGGCATGGACATGACCAAGGCTCTTAAAAGACACAAACAGGTGGGAGAGTGTGCTGGGGGTGGGCAGCGGGCTGGAGAATACAAAAAGGCGGAGGCTAGCCTTTGGGAAGCAGAGACAGAGGAGACAGGGACTGAGATTGGCTGGAAAGGAGAGGATGGGCGAGGAGAGGATGGGAGAGGAAAGGAGAGGAGAAGAAAGAGGAGAGGAGCGGAAATCTGAACACAGGTCACATCTAGACAGCGTGCAAGTCAGAGGTAAAGCTAGAAAAAAATGACAGGAGGAAAGAATAAAGACAAATGGGTGATTGGGACCCAGATGGGGAAATGACCAACTGTTTGGTAAGGATAGGCAATGTGCATAAAAAAGATGGTTTCCCTGTGTGACTAAGAGGATAGGGATTAAAGAGATAAGAGTGAAAGGGAAAGGAGGGAAAGAGGAAAGAGAAGGAGACAAAGTAATCAGCACACAAGCGCAGATCTAAATGCTTAGAAAATCACCAGGCTGAGCCAGAAGAGCCACAGCCATACCCAAGAGGGGACCATCAGAAAGACAGAAGCAGGCAATTTAAGCAGCTAGCCACTGGGGTAGAAAAAAAAATGAAAAGAAAAAATAGAAGATGGAAAAGGTGAGAAGCAGGAGAGGAAAAGCCCAAAGGAGACACTGGCCCAGAAACCTTTTTAACTTTCTGTAAGAATCTTTAAGGCCCCAAACTAGGCCAGGATTCTGACTGACATTTCTGAGCTCACCAGCTGCTGTTTCCTTGGGAGGATTCTGACAGGATGGCATAGAAATTCAAGCCAACACCGCCAGCCCTGGAAATAAATAAATAACACTCTACTAAACATGTCAATGGGGACAGAAGCCTGCGGGAAGAAAGCCCACAGAGAAGGAGGGACCTGCCTGCGACTCTCCCCAGGTATGTGCTGAGCTTGCTCCGCATGCTGCTTTCTCCTCTAATCGTCCCCTGGCCATTCCTGCCTCGCCCATCTGTCTTTCTTTCTTTGAGAATTTTTGGGAAGACCTGCAGGTGATCTGCTTCTATCATCTAAAGCCAGCATGGCATTCTACAGAAGCAGGTGAAACTACAAATTCTGTGTCTCGAACAGGCAGGAGAGGATGGCAAGAATTCAGGGCCAACAGGCAGAGTAATGAGGGGAAATGAATGACAGAAACAGCCCTTGCTGGCTAATACTGATGGTGGACCTGCTTCTGTGTGCTGGCTGATGCTTGAAGCAGAGGCAGAGAGGGCCAAGAGAGTGGGCCTGAAAGACCCAGGGACAACGAAAGGAGAGATTTCCCATGTTCATTCAAGTGGCTGGTTCATTACCTAAAAGAAATTATTTTTAGTTTTTCGTTTATCTCAAATATTCAATTGGTAAACGAGGCTGGGTTTCAGATGACCCCACAGGTGTCCCCACTAAGACAATGTGAACTATTACACTTTTGGGGAAAACTAAGAAACTAAGTCCCTGAGCCATGAATTTCTTTGGGAAGGTAGGACAAAAAAACTCAAGATTCTTGACTTGCTTCTTAGACATGAAGCCATTCTTAATCCTCACTGAACTTAATAGGAGCACTTTTTTTAAAAAAGGAAGATATTTTGGAGCTAATAAGCTTTGTTGTTGTTCTGTATTATTACAGTGAATCATATTGTCATCACGATCCCTCTGCACATATTATGTAAGGTCATGAGTCGGTGGGCCCTCGGCTAGGCTATCTTCTCACTAAATACAGTCACTTCATTTTGTATTGGTAAATATTGGAACCAAAGAAATCGTTCCAAGGAGCATAGAATTGTGCAAGCCAAAAACCCTGGGCAACTTCCTGAACAGAGTTTCCCTGTCTTTGGAGTGTTGGTTGACCACCTGTCTGCCCCCTCGTTGGTGAAAAGTACTGACAATCACACCTATGAGAAGGGTTCATACCTGGCTTCTGTTGGCTTTGACTTCTCATCACCTCTTCATTTTAATGCATCTGAGAATGTAAGGGCCAGTTCCCTACCCTCAGCTTGCACAGAATCAGGATCACTGATCTAGGGCTATGGTTCTCAGCATGGTCCCCAGACCACCTGCATAAGCATTACTTAAAACATGCTAGGTGTACAAATGCTCAAATTCTACCCCAGACTTCCTGCATCAGAAGCTCTGGTGGGAGGATGTAGCAATTTGCATTCTAGGAAGCTATCCAGGTGATTTCTAGGTTAGAAAGTAAAAGTTTTTTAAAGTGCTATTTCTTGAACCCACAGTGTTCAAATCTCCTAACAAATGTGATACCTATGGGGTAGATCTAAAAAAAAAAATCTTCAACAAGCAGCAACTTCTCCATTCCAATTCTTTGTTTCTTTCATCTGTAATATAGGAATAGTTCTAATATAAGTTACTTGCTACACTGCTTGGAACAGTACCTTCACATAGTAGGTACTCAACAAAGGCTTTGGGAGCTTCATCTTCTTTACCACAAAAGACCTTTCCAAGGAGACTGAGAAATCAAAACCAAAGTTGTGCAGATGCCGGCCCTCTAAGAGGGGTGAGAGGCATGCGTTTCAGGCACACAGGAACTAGACTGCAAGATAGATGTGGCACGCTGTACAACCAGTTACAAACTATAGGCATGAAAAACAGAAAACCTGGAGAAGAAAGTGTTGTGTGAACTGAGCCTTAAAGAAAGACTCATTTTAACTCTGAATATGGGAAAAGGGAAAAGAATATTCCAGGTGAAAGCTGAGCATCAGGAACATTGGAGGAAAAAAGATATTAGTGATCAGAATGATTTTTCTGTTACTAATTCTTACCTTTTGTCTGGGTCTAACCATTTATCATCATGTTTGCAGAAATTCGTCCTTTAATCCAAGCTAAATAATTTTCCTTGCACTGTTGTGAAGTGAGTCATTTCCAATGTTAATGATTTTGCTACTTGAAAAACCCTGTCTTTCTTATTTATTACTTAATCAATACCTTTCCAAGTCCTCTGACTACCTGCAATGTAGTAAGATGGGAGTAATTGCAAAAGTAACAATTTCTGGGCTCTCCCCCTTGTTCACTCATTAGAGTATGTTTAAAAGCAAGTCAGAAAGTTTGCATACACTCTTATGATTCTAATGGCACTCAGATTTGAAAGCAACTCCCTCCCTTACAGTGGTTCTTTCCCAAAATCTATTGAACATAGAATTCACCTGGAAGTACCTGTCATCAAGGAGACTCCTAGCCAGTCCCATGGAGATTCTGATTGCATGGCTCTAGAGTGGAGTGTAAGGGACAGAATTCTTACTAAGTCCTTCAGTGGTACTAAGACAGGCAAGGTCAGGAAATATAGCATATTAGGATAAATGTGTGCTTTGGGTTAGAAAGAAACATCAAGTCGTAAGTCTGCCATTCACTAGCTGTATGATTTTCACGTTAACCACTTCCTGCCTCCAAAGTTATTAACCTCCTTGAGACAGTTTCATTCTGCCTATAAAATATACTTCAAAGGATTGTTATAAGGATAAATACTCCAAGTAAATGGCTTAGTATAATGGTGGTGCACTCTCTTCCTCTTGATCCATACCCCCTGAAGCTCTGGCTCTAAGTCTCCTTGATGAGAATCAGAGCAGCACAACAGGGGTTATGAGATGTCACCGATACTCATCTCCTCTGAGAAAGGTGGCAGAATTCCTTCAAGAAGAGCAGTTCAGCTCTTGGGGCTGGCAGTGCTCCTACTGCCCCTGGGAAGTTAAAATGGGACCCATGCCCATGACTGAGTCAACACTCAGAACTAGTCAGTCCTTTAGAAATAGCAAGATATTCTGGCTGAGCTCCAGGAAAAATAAAGTCCTATCTTGACATACAATCTCATGCTTGTCTGGGAGAGTGGGGGGCTACTTTATTTCCTACTCCTCAGCTAGATGATGGCAAGTTTCAAATAATTTGGATTTGACTTGCTCAATTCCAGAATAGTTTCTGTTTCATGGACAGGCACCAAGAATACCAGGAGTAAATACTGGTGCCTAAGGCCAGGAGCCCTTGGATTTGGGGTGTGTTTGGACATTGTCTGTGTCTCTGCAGGCTTCTCTCTGTGCAAACACTAGCAGGACCCTGACCCCCCTAAAAATATGCCACTCTAAACACATTTTAACGAACTATTATAGGTTTTTTAAAGCTTGCAAGTTTGGCTGGGCTAAGGAATAGGGAGAGTGAAGCTGCCTACACTGGAAGCTAATTCACTGAGCTATAGGCAACGGTTCTGCAGACAGCCCTGGTCTCCCCTCCTTACCCTAAGAAGTCCTGCAAGCTCATCAGAGCTTTTGTCAAGGAGCAAATGCCTTGCAGTCAATAAGCAGACAGTCTAAGCCCCTCACCGTGTGAATCCTTTCATGAAGGTCCTGAAAACAGAACTGAGGCCCTGGAACTCAGCATCCATAGTATCTTATTAGATATCTTGTTAGATTATATTGATGAATATGCTTCCTTAACAAAGTCTTTTCAAACATAATGAAGACATTTTTTGTGTTTTTAAAACAGACTAAAATTGCAGGAAGAATATATTTTGATAATATTTAAGCTTTCCCAAATATCTTTGAATCACTTCTTAAATAAAAACAACCATTAGGTTAATAAACCCTTTAAAGTAATTCAAGTACTGTATAAGGACTTCCATGCAGTGGGTTGATTCAGCTTCTGCCTTAATATTAACTAATATATTAAATTTAAAAATAAAAGGGTACCCTTTATTAGACTTCTAATAGTAGGTTCACAGCACATTGTATAAGTCTATCTCATTGAAGTCTCCTGTTGAATTATTATTCCCCCTTGCAGATAAAGAAACCGAGCCTTAAAAAGGATAAGTAGCTTGCTCAAGGTCACAGGCACCCAAGCCATGCTTTTCCTCCCTGTACCCCTCTGTGGCCAATAACCTTGAAGACTATAACTTTGTGTTAGTCTATAATTCCAACTCCCTGTCTCAACCTTCCCTTGATTTTTCTCAGATCCAAGAGGCTTTCTAAGAGCCATAAATGGGAGTTCACCATCCTCATGTCTCCGCAATATAGTGTCTTGGTCATTTATGTTCAAATACGTAAATGTTCTGCTCAGCTAAGGAAATAAACCATGATTGCTACTCATGCTTTTAATGCTACTTTTACTGTTACTCAAGTCCTGAATGACTCTAAATGCTGTTTACTACTCAGGAACAAGGGAAAGGACAACCTAGTGATTTAAGGCTTTTGAACAATTATCCAATTATGGGGCAAGTTACGTGGTAGGGAATAAATCTTTTCAATAACATGTCGAGTGACATTTTATAGCTCTGTTGTCCTGTCTCTTAAGAAACTCAAGACTTTTACATGTGTTATCTCATTAATCTTCATCCTACCCTTTGGAGGGCAGATGGGGTTACACAACTGCTACTTTCAGATAAGTGGGCTGGGATCCAGAGAAGGGACAAAGAGAAAGGTGATGATTTTACCAACATCACACAGCACACAAGTGACCAGGTAACATGCCACATTTCATGATATTTTATACGAATACTATGTGCCAAACTCAAGAGATTCAGGCAGATAGCAAACTAAATAAATAATGTGGAAAACCCCACACCCACCTGCCCCACATCCATGCCCTCTGCCCTAAGCAGAACAGAGAAACAGGGCTTTATGTTTCCCATCCTAGAATTCTTCCTCCCGTTTTTCCCTTGTCTGAAATGTGTTGATTAGTTTCTCCCCACCCCCCACCCCTGTCTGCCCGTTACTCCATTTTTAAATCTTAAATCTGTCTTAAGGGAATGAGCAACAAGGGTTTAAATAAGTCTTTTATAATAGATATTCCCAACTTTCTCTTCATTTTCAGAATATTTTGTGTGTTCTAAATTGACAAGAATTTCATTTCCTGGACCCATGAACTGTCAAGTAATTGATTATTAACAGTATTTAAAATTTATTTT